AATGCTTGTATTTTATTTGTTTACAAATAAGTAACACCACTAAACTATATTTCAACAACCAAATTTATAACCTTTATTAATTTTCTCACAAAAATGTTACTTAAGTATAATTATCTCCTTGGATTAATTAGTAAACAAAGGGCATTTACTCCAACTGTGTTGTCCTGTAATGCTTGTATTTTATTTGTTTACAAATAAGTAACACCACTAAACTATATTTCAACAACCAAATTTATAACCTTTATTAATTTTCTCACAAAAATGTTACTTAAGTATACTTATCTCCTTGGATTAATTAGTAAACAAAGGGCATTTACTCCATTGAATCATGGAACACCAGAAAAGATAATTTTGTTTTTAAACAGGTATCAAACATGTATTTTTTATAGCAATCATTAATGTTTATATCTGGAACAAGTGAGGTATAATATCATTTCAGGGGCTAGTTTATGTTATTTTTGTTATGATTTTATTTATAACCAGACAAAACCTTTCTTCACTGATAGTAACAACCATTGAATAAATGTCAGGTATTGACATTTCAATATTGTACCAGGGAACCATGTTAGAAAAACATATATTAACTTTATTTGAAACAAAAGTATTAAATATGATAGGCTTGGACACCCAAACTATGAAAAGATCTTAAATGTGGTTTCTGGCCTCCTTAGTTATCCAGTGACCATCATAGATTTTGTACTGACCACTTCCAAAACAAGACAGTTAAGATAAAGGAAGTGTCTTCAATCAGCAAAATACAGTATCAAAAGAAACGTGTTAATGAATATTAATAATGTTAGAACTTACTGGACTTCTAAAATAGAACTTTCTGCTCAAGAACACACACAAAAAAGAATGCAAAAGTAGTATTTTGAAAATTTCACAAGCTAAAAATTATAGAAATACTAAACAAAATTATATGATTTTTTTTTAAACAAAAACTAGATACTATTTAGAAAGCTTTTTCTAAGTTTCATGCACTTTGGTTAAGTATGGTACTTCCACTATGAGAATGAGTATGCTATCTTCCTTGTCCAAAAAGGGTAATGTGACTACTGGATATAATTTTGCACCAGAACAACAAAAACAAGTAATTCAAAGGTTTTAATCTGCCTAATAGTTAAAGTTTAACATTAGAAAAAAGTTCCAATTCACAGTTAGTTTGGAAGACTTTACTCCTATTATTATAAAATGTTTGTTAAATTAATAAGCAATAAACAAGACAGATAATACAGTAGTCCTTAAACTGTATATTGGGTCAAGTTTGGTATATAAACAGTGATTTCCTTAAGAACTGCCTGCTGACCTAAGTGACTGCTTTAACTATGAATTTGGCTAGTTTAAGTTTACTTTGTAAATTTGTAACTGTGTAATTGTATTAGTTATGTCCAACTGCATTTATTTCAGTTGTAAAATCACTTTCTATGTTGTGAAAAGGAGTGCAGCTTGTTGTTTTAATGTTAGAATAAAAATTTATTGCTCTAGATGTGGATGTTCTTGACAATTTTGCATGGTTGGATTTTAAGTAAAATTCAGCATTATGTCACAGGTGGGGAATCATTGAGTTTCAAATTGAAAGTGCTTTGAGTTTTGATTGTATGCTGTAGTACTCATCAGTGTTAAAGTAACAAGTAACTTACAGGCTAAACTGCAGCATTAAAATATTAGGTTGTATTTGCCCACAATCTTTCCAGATCCCTAAAGAGCCCTTCATCAGAAGGTATTACAACACTAACTGAAAAAATATTTTAAAAATGGAACTAAATCTTGTGAGAAAATCACGAGGTCATACACACACACACACACACACACACACACACACACACACACACTGATGAC